AAAATGGGCGTGGCGTCGCCCACTTATGGACCAAAAACCATATCTCAGGAAGTACTCAACCGATTTCAATGAAATTCGGTATATAATATTTTCTTAATACCGTGATAACATGTACCAAATATGGGTGAAATCGGGTCACAACTACGCCTGAAATCTCGATTATCTCTTTATCATGCGAGAGTATAAAATGTTCGGTGACACCCGAACTTAGCCCTTCCTTACTTGTTTATTATTGTCATCAGTTGTAGAGGTCGAAGGTCGTCCAGAACGAAGCAGGTCTTCAACGATCTCTAACCGCCTTTGAAGATTTTGCACCATTCGTAGATTTTTATTTTTGATAAAACTGAATCATCGTAAGCTTTTTCCAAGAACGATTCTGCACTAGAAATTTGATTAGGAAAATAAAATTTGAGACAAAATTTGAGCTGATTTAAACGAAAAAACTTGATAGATTGTGTCCATATTTGGCTTGAGAATTGAGGACATTCTACTAGCATAGCAAGTATGTATTTTTTATATATTATTTACTCTGGGAATTTAAATAGCGATTTCTGGGGACTTCACAGGGTATTTTTAAAGAGAAATTTTGGCACGACTTCAAATAGTACAGATACAATTTGAAACAAGATTATACTAAAAAAGACCTAAGTATTTTTATTAACACAAATACTAAAGATTTTAACCAAAGAACAGCAAATTTTTTTAACCAATTTTCAAAAATTTACTTAAAAAATTAGCTTTACGATTTGCAAGAATGAAATGAATAATCATTTTCTAAAAAGGCTTATACAAGGTGCATTCCAAAGTAAACAAGACTTAAAAAAAAAACAGAACAAATGGGGTTTGGGGTTTTTCGGCAAAATCAATTTATTTCATTCAAAATAGTCTCCATCTGCTTCAATACAGCTTTTTGCTCGGTCCAAAAGCATGTTGAACAAATATTTTAGCTCTTTGGCCGATATGGACGCCAGTATGGCCTCTACGTCTGAAAAACGCTTTCCTTTCATGGGCAAATGCATTTTTTTTTGAAAACGAAGAGCCGCTCAATGCCATATCAGATAAATACGGGAAGTAGTTAATGGTTAAATACGATTTTTGGTCAAATAATCAGTCACAAGCCTCAAACGAATGTTGGATTCTGAGCAATTTTTGGTCGTCAGTCAATATGTGCGTGCACACATGAATTTTAAAGATGGTTTCGGCTGATTTTTGATGAATTCCCACATGTTTATCGTCATTTATGTATGTCCTCACGATAACTTTGAAAACAATGAAACCACTCGTGCACTCTGCTACGGAATAGACAATCATGTCCATCGTTTCATCAATTGAAACATTTTGGTAAAAGTTTTACCAATTCTAAAACAAAATTTAATGTTGGCTCTTTGTTCGAAGCTCATTTTCGCACCGATAACACAAACATACTGACACTTAAAACACAATAACTTCACTTCCAACTCAACTTCAATGAAATGTCTTGAAATTCTTACTGGACAATCGATAAAGAAGATTCTAACTCACCAGAGGACATTTAGATGGCGAAACCAGGCGGCGCCACATTTAAAAAGTCCTTTATGCTATGGAACACACCTT